CAACAATACCCTGTGACTGCAGTTCAATTACTCACTATCTACACACACATTACATTACATTACCCTGTCACGTTGTCACCCTCTTTTATATACCCGACTACCCTATATCTAGTAAATACTAGAGCAGTCGCCAAAGTACAGGATAGTTCTAGAAACGTGGCGTCACAGTAGTCATGTGACCTCGCTGACGCAACACTATTATATTTATATAGATACAGCTATACTAACATATGACACACATTAATTATATCGTGATTTGACCTGTTTTTCAACAAATAACTTTAAAAAGCCCACTCAACAGTAGATCAAATTATAACACTGATGTCGAAGCAGGATTACTTTGATAAAAACAAAATATAGCTTAGCTCAGTTTCAAAATAGCAACTAGATTCAGAAGCGAGAACGAAGCTTTGCTACAGATAATGAAACAAAGGAGGGTCGAGAAGAAAGACACCAAAATTAAAAGAAGACAAAGAAAAAGGGACAGAAAAGTAAAAGAAGATCAAGAAGAAAGAGACGGAAAATTAAGATACGAACATTAAGGAAAAATTAAAATTAGAAAAGTGAGAAAGGAAATTAAAAGAAGGCCAAGATGTAAGAGAGAAAATTTCATAGAGAAAGAGGCATACCGTTTAAAGAACTAAAATTTAAAATAAATCTGATTAAAGGCAGGATCATTGAAGCTACTGAAGATTTATAGAGAGATTACAACAGCTAAATTGAAGAAATACAGAATGGCTATAATAAGAAAATTGAAGATGTAAAGAAAGATACCAACAAGGTAAAAAAAACACATCAGTGACAGAATATAACATATGGAAAACGATTTGTTAAATACAAAGACGAAACCAGTCACACCTCTTTCTGCATCAATTCAAAAGTTCCAACTTAAAACACAACATACAACAAAATATGGAGTCACAACTAATTTGGTCTTCACCTATTCCACCACTACTGTTCGTCCTGTTATGGCAGAATCTTCATGGATCACTACAGCCATGTCACTACCAAACCCAGTTCCAGAATTTAGCTGCCCAATCCAACATCAGTCAATTGAGAAACCAATGGACTATGATGGAAAGGTATTATTGGAAGCACACCACACTAGGTTGAAAATTATTTCTAAAGTGAGCAAGTGGAATACTGAACAGCAAGCTATTCCTTTTGCTACCTCTTTAAAAGTATCAGCTTTGACAACTTTAAGTGACCTTTCAGTTGGGAACTACAACAACTATAGAGCATTGGCTGCTTGCTTATTCAAAAGATTTGGAATGATTCACCAGAAGGAAGTATCCAGAGTAAAGTTCTGGAACAGGGTATAGAGGGAAGAAGATATCTTAGAGAAACTTGTGGAACATTTCCTCATCAAATAATAGATTGATGGCACGTGACCGATTTATAGATGACATAACAAATGAGGTTATGAAAATTAGGTTGAAGCAAAGTAGGTGAACATTTTAAAATGAAGTTCTGTAGTTGGTAATGGAGCTTGAATCCATTAAAATCGCAGATAAACAACTAAAAATACCATCCATAGTTTAAGGGATCATCACATTGGATAGTATTAAATCATTACCTTTATTAACTCACTCTGACGATAAGCTAGAAAATCTAAAATGATTAATTAGGCAACTAGTTACACAGAAAGGAGGAAATAAATCACAAGAAAGTGGGTATTTTAAGTGTAACTTGAAATAACATATTTTCAAGAAATACAGACAAAAGCCTGTAGTGAATAAGAACTTCTTCCAAAGGATACCAGAAAAGGGAAACTTTTATAGACGTGGGAAACCTGAACATTACAGTCGAGACTGTAAGGGATCAACAGCTGTTAATACACCAGGGAGACAATAAAATAGGAATTGGCGAACATATGGGACAAAGTTCAGCTGAGAATACCTCATCTACTACAAAGGAGATAAGAAGTTCATTATTTAAAAAAACAGGTCAACATAAAAGTTCACGGGATTATTAATGGTAATCTTTGTAGTATGTTGGTTAACACTTGTTCTACAGCTACAATAGTTCAACCTGCTTTGGTAATTAAAGCGTGATGTAAACTATAAGAGGACATAAAGTTCCAGCAAGAAAAAAGTCAGAAGTTATCCATAGTGTAGGAAACTTCTCTGTGCTGCATGATGAGTGAGTAACTTTCATCAAGGAAGAGTGCATATTGGGAACTGCCTTCATGCAGAGATATAGATTCTAGGTTATGCTAGCTTCAAATAGCTTCATATCTATGACCATAAAATCCCTGTGTATTACATTATATTTACTACAGCACAAGTTGAAGTTCCAGTGACAATATAAAAGCAGTAATTTTACCATCAAGAAATGAAATACTCATTACAGAATTTAATAAACACAAAATTACATCTAGTGACTGGGTCATAATAGAAGTAAATACTCTAGTGTATCATGATGGATTAATGGTTGAAAGAAATACCGTAGATCTGAAAAATAAAATTTCCATAATTAAGGCCGTGAATACAACCATAAAATTCGAGTCAAATCTGGATGTGACATTGAAAAATGTGAGGCTGTACAGGTAGTGCTTTCACATCAAAGAAAATTTAATTGTTATCTTTGAGGAAGGATGTAGGGAGTTTGATGTTAGATCATTACATAAGAACAACCTATCACCTCGCTTACAAGAATTGTAAGATTGGAGCCATGACAGTCTTAGAAAGAATCAGTGCTATAAATTACATAAGTTACTCAAAGAATATCAAGACACCTTCTGCAGTGGACCTCATGACTTTGGACAAACAAATAAAACATCTCACAAGGTTGATACTGAAGATGCAATCCCAATACACCAGTTAGCCAGACGATTTCCACTTGCCAAATTGGCTAAGGCTTTCAAAGAAGGAATAAGTAGTGACAGAATCGTGTACTAATCCTTAGACATCACCTATTGTATTTGTGGAGAAAAAAGATTGATCAACAGCGTTTTGTGTGGACAACCATAAGGTAAATGAAGTTACAAAGAAGGATTCTTACCCACTGCTTAAGAATAACTCCACTTTGGATACGCTATATAGATAAAAATGGGTTTCAGCATTGGATCTTAAGAGTGATTAGTGGTAAGTGAAAGCCGACAAAGCAAGTAAAGAGAAGACAGCTTTTACTGCAGGAAATGGATTGTGACAGTTTGGTGTGTTACAATTTGGATTATTTAATGCACCTATTACATTTCAAAGTTTAATGGAGTGTTCTCTGTCTGAACTACCCTGGAATGCCGTGGTCCTGAATGACATGATTGCACATGTCAAGACCTTTGATAATATGTAATATGGTCTAAGGAAAGT